ATGTGAAGTTAGGATAAGTATATTTGACTGAGAAGTCTTTAGGTACTAAAAAAACCATCTGTAGCAGAATCCCTCTCCATTTCTAAGGAAATGTAAGACACAAGTTTGGCTGGATGATATAAACAATGAAATGCTCCAAAAAACCCTTTCACCATGGTAATAGATGTATTCCTTGTGACCAATGAATCAAGCAGATAATAATTGAATCTCTAAAACGTCAGTCTCTTAAGTATATTGAGAAAATGGGAATTTAGTCTAAAAGTGCATTTATCTTGCATTTTGAGTTAAAATAATATCATGGACATCACATGTGGATTTTGTGAAATATTTGGAATTGCAGTAGTGTAATAAGAGCAGGAACATAGGCACTGTGCTTCTGAGTGAGACTTGCTTGGACTCCCACCTCCGCTTCCTTCGACAACAGCCAACTGCACTCGTTAAAGGGAGGGATAAGAAAGCACAGAACAGAGTTAAGGGAAAACTGTGTTTTGTTCTAAATGCCAATGGCAGAAAATAGACTTAGATAATGAAGCTAGAATTTGCGAGTATTGTTAGCTCTTTTGATATTGGGAAGATCTGGTTTCATAAATGCAAAACACTAACAAATACGAAGGATGAAGTCTTCAGACAGTGACAGAACAGTAGCGCCTGTTCCCTGCCGCTCCCTGAGACCAGCCTAGATTTAAAACTTAGCTGTGACTGATGGAGATTTTGGGGAGACAAAACTCTCTGCTCCACTTAGCGGTGTCCCCTGTCTTCTCCATACAGCTGCAAAGCATTTTCACAGCACAGCTGGTGAGACAGTCCACGTTGTGAAGTGGTGTGCAATATTGACATTCAAAAGGTAGCATTCTTTGAAGTATTTTTGACAAGGTTTTAAATTGCAACCTGCTTTGTTGTGATGGTACAAGAGAAGTCAGTGGTTGCATTAAACTAACGAGGCTGACTTGAGATGGTTTTGTCTGCAACCTACTTCTTTTCACTTTTTTTTACCTTCTGAACATGTTTCTGCTTGGATGGTTTTAATCTTTTTTCACAGTCTTGGCATTTTATTAGCTTTTCTAGTAATATCCTTGCCAAAATTGTGTATTCATTGGAAGAAAAGCAATCAATCTTCTCTGAGAGAAATGAGGAGTGCTGCTTTTTGTCCGGGGTGTACGTCTATACAAGCATACATCTAGGGGAGCGTCAAACTATATCGCACTTTCTCCTGTACTTAAATATTGTACTCACAAATAGGTGCAAGGAGCAAAGAGCACTGGGTTGCAAGCAGGGACCATGCTCTACTCCCTGGCCTTAGCAGGTATGTGTGCGCTGGAGGGGTAGGTGTCCTGCAGAGAGACTTGCTGAGTCAGCAGCTTCCTGTTCCCTCTCCCCCCCCCCCCCCCCCACCATCCCATCTCCAAAAACTACTGCTGTAGTCCCTGTTGTTGTGGGAAAACATAGATAGTAGTTCTCTATTCGAACCCTAATATACAAAAATCATGAATCAAAGCCTGGCAAAATCCAGTTGTCTATTTCAGCAAACGTTTCTAAAAATCTCATCTTCATAAAATAGCAAAGCCACACAGACAATATTTCAAGCCCTTTCTTTTCTAAAAGCAATTATTATTTGCATTTTCCACCATATCAAGCTATATTTTTGTGAGTAGTTACCTCTCCTGGGAGTGAATATGGCAAGAAAAAAGAGAGACAGACACACAGAAAAGCAAGCAACAACAAATTTTTTTCCACCACTTGGCATAGCAGAAACTATCAAAAAAAAAAGAAACCCAAAGTTTGATATTTGTTTCTGTCTGTATGTCACTCACACCTATGAAAGGCATTTTACTGTTTTAGTTTTATATTTCCAATTTCTTTGAAGGCTTCTTTGTCCAAGGTAAAAGGTGTGTGTGTGTGTATGTACGTATATATTTATATGTATATATGCACACACACACACATGCCTGTAAATATAGGTATGTGTACATACATATGCAAATATGCACACAAACACCCCCTATCTTTTCTGGGGAAAAGTTTTTTTTCTGGGAAAAAATTTTTGTTGGATTGTCTTTAATTCCGTTTACATTTTATAATAGGAGATGGTGTTAAAACCATCTGTCTTACCTCTTAGGAACAGAACTGACTTAAAATTGAGAAAAATTGTAAAATTGAACATATATACAGCACATCCATAGTGACTGGTTAGAATTCTGGCTCTGATATTGCTATTGATTGAGGACGTATTTAGGTTCATCTCTGTTGTTCAACCTGTAATTTATTTGTTAATAACATCAAAGATTTCACTGTGATAAGGAATCAATAATTAATGTTGTTCTAGCAGTGTAAAGACACGACTTGACTTCTTTGTTTAGAAAAATGTCCCCGTCTTCTGTCTGTTCCCTCACAGTAATCTGTCTCATGTGTTACTAGAAAGGATAACAGCTGTGAGTCAAAAAAATATGAAATACGACAGACGTGTATTTCTGTTTTCCTACCAAGATGGCCTCAATATCTAGACCATTAAAAGGACTATGAAGGATTAATCACTTATAAAGCATTGTTTTTATTATTAGGTTTTATATTTTTATTTCTCTAAGGTAAGCATTTCTTTTCGGTATCACTTAAAACGGTTGCCCTCCCATAATTTTATTAATTTCAGTTAATATTTCTGGATTCCTATCTCCCTCTATTATCTTTGTGATGTGACGTGAAACTTTTTGGTATCTTTACTAAGTGACCTTAAATTTCACTAGTATTACTTCTGTCCTCTTAAATAACATGAAATGTTGCTGTTTTGAACTGTTGCATCTTTTGCCCTCAAGCTGTTCACCTAGAGGTCTCTGAAATCCTCAGAATTTTCCTAAACATTACTAAGTTGAAAACGCTGTTTTAGTTTGCTCATTAGTAGATATATTAAATACCAGTTCTACCAGGATCTGAAGCTTTGAAATGTTAAAAATGTATTTAAAATTTCTATTGTCAGTCATCTCACTCCTAAATCTTTATCTATAACACCAGCTAAATACTAATATTTCTTTTTTTTTATGAGAAAAGGTATCAATAGATAAAAAATGTATTTTTTATGAACACTATACTAATTATTCCCTATTAGGTAATATTCATCCAGCTTTCATTAGCTGTTTTGTATAATGGAGGGGAAAAAAGGATTCACCATAAGTCACTTAAATTGCATCAGCTCGGAGGCTCACTTTATTAGCTCAAACATGACTAAAAATGCCCTGAAGTACCACTTGGCAATACTATGCTATTTCTAGAAGGTTTTAGTAGAGAGGCAGCAGTCCCTTCTTGTAGTAATTTTCTTAATAACACGTTTCATTTTCTTATTCACATCTGTTCCTAGATCAACTTTGTTCCTATGCAAGGAATTGTCAGAATCTCTCAAGTGCAAAACCAATGAATTTTCTTCCTTCTTGTTAATCGCTTACTTTTTAATTAACTCAAATTAAATATGAAGTTGTGCAAAGCATATTTATACAATTTCTTGACATTTGCTTTGTATGTTATGGTGTTTATTATCAATTTCAGCAAACGTTTCTCTTTGCTTTGTATGTTTGCATTTGCTTTGTATGTTATGGTGTTTATTATCAATTTCAGCAAACGTTCAGCAAACGCTCTGTTGGTGAGGTAATTTTTATCCTGCTATGATTTAACCTTCTATTGGATGACTTTAAACTTAATTTCTGTTTTCTGAAGAATCCCTGTCTAGGAGAAAAGTATTGAAAAGTGCCATTTAAACAGATTTTTTCCTCTTGTTTTTGTTCGTGATACCTTTGCCCTACAATGCACATATAGCTAATTCTATCCTAGACCAATGTTATCAACTGTACATTTTTGAAATGTTATAAGAAGTTGCAGAAATGCCAGCAACCTTGGTAGTGGATATTATTGGAAGTTTCTTACTAAGTGCATATTTATGTTAATATTGCTAAACATATATATGTTAATGATTTTTGCACCTTATTTTTACCAATATGTTGGGCTACGTCTGATGTGTAAAAATATTCCATCTAGGCATGACTTAGCTCTGAAAAATTTCAAGAACTTAACACAAAACAGGAAGCGTTTCAGACGAAGTGTCATGTTTAAATTTAAAGTAAGCAAAATTTCTATTACGTTGGAAAGAGTCTTGAGGACTTTAAAACTTGAAAGATGTTATTTCCCTTTTCATTTTCACTTCATTTGAAAGTATCTGTTTTTAATTTCAAAATAAGTAGAAAAATTCCAGTGTGAACATTATTTTAAAGCAATGATCAAAGATTATCCATATTTTACTACATTTCACATTTTAATTTCTTCACCTATGGTGTCATTAATCCCAGTCCTGAAGGATACTGTTTCAGTAGAAATTTCAGTGCTGGGTAAATCTCTGCTTAAGGCTCCTAACACAAGGCCTCTTTGATTCAACATCCACTGTAGTTGTTCCAGCACCGGAGTGCATTTTATCTGTACTGTTCTTCTTCACAGTAGAAGAATAGGTTTTTCTTCATATTAAAAATCATTTTGGTAAGGAAAACAACATTCCTGTTTTCCTGCTGCAATAAAATGACAGAGATGAATCTATCAAGCCTTTCCATACCTTGAGAGTCCTCCGACTTCCCCATTCAATATACTCAGTGCTTATTATATGCAAGAGGTCTAAAGATTTAGACAAGGGAATAGTAATAGAGGAGTCCTGAACTCTAATGCTAGTTTTTGTCTGTTAATATTCATCCATAACAGAAGATTGTAGTTATTTATCTGTTCCATGGGACTATTGTAGGATTTAAAAAAGGAGGAAAAATCTATGCAAGTGCTAAGTTGTTGGTTTTTTTGCAGTCACGGTAGACTCTACGTGAATGATGGCAGTGTGGGATTCACTTAGCTATTAGAACTTCTTTATTCCATCTCATCAGCTAGGCTAAGAAAATATGGTGAATGTTTCAGGAAAATCGTGCTTGTTTTAGGAAACAACATGCTTGTTTTAGCTAGTTATATGGGACATATGTATTTTGCAGGTTGGCAAGACATGTTTGGGGAACCGCAATAATTCAGCATCTCATGTGAAGGCAGCAGACACAGAGACAAGCTTTCAGGTATTCTGTTTCTGAAATTCTCAAGTTTTTAACAAAAGGTCTTTTAAAATACGCAATTACTTGAAGTACGTTTACCCATTCTGAGCTAGTACTTTTGAAATGGAACTGCTTACTCAATTCAGTATAAGCTGTTACTATACTTGATTTCATTTGTTCTGCTCAGAATGGCTCTTGGTTATTACCAGTTTGGAAAACTATTTAATATTTGAAATGCAGCTCTGTGTGTGCTGTTCCTATGGAATTTTAACACACTTTTCTGTTTGCTTATATATGTGCGTATCATATATGCAATACTTACGCTAGTACTATTTTCACCTTCAACAGAAGTTGCACAGCCCTCCGTGGACTAAACCTGAAGATAAAAAATCACCTGAAAGAAATGAGAGAAAATTTGAAGAGCCTGTTAGTACAAAAGAAAAAAACCTCTAAGCACTACTAATCTACATGAAAAATGTCCTTCACTTGCTCCCATCTTCTTTTTTTTAGTTCAGAGGCATGAAATGTAACAGGTTTCTAAAGCATGCTTTTTTTCACTATTTTATGAATGTTTGTAAAATAGTCTAGAATAGACCATTTAGTATCTTTAAGCAATAATCCAAAATGGATGTTTGAAGAAATGCTTTGTAATACAGTCCAGTTTTTTTTGAAATATAATTCTACCCTGGTCAGTAATTGCATATTATAAATTAGTTTGTTTTGTAAACAACTGCCATTCTCAAATATCATTTTCTGCATCTATTCTACATGAAGTACCTTTACAGCAGATTAGCATTTAAATCAAGTTAAGAATAAAAGGCAGTTAACATGGAAAAAATATTTACAAGTCTTTGTAAGCATAGTTGAAGTGGAGTGCAATTCATCAGAGTAACTGTAAAAGTGGAAGACTAAGGATCCATGTATATTTGCATTTCAGTAATACCATTTCAAGTCTGCTTACTTAAACAATAAAAGTTGTTTGTTTGTTTTTTCTAAGTGCTATAACTACTAGCCCAATTTTGAGCACTGAAATGTTGGCAGAAATGCGGAGTTAAAGGGATGGAGATGGGAAGAGCTGTGGCTTTCAGGATTCAAGCAAAAATTCATTTCCATACCTTATAGTTGTGCTGATCTCGATAGGATAAATGCACATTAAATGGTAAAAACACATTTTGTCCACTACAGGTGGTGTTTTGTCACTACAGTACCGGTTAGTATTTTCATTGGGATGCACTATATGACTCCTAGGATTTTTTCACTTTCTCATAGGTCACATAGTCCACGGAAGATTTCAAAGCAGAAAGAAAGTGAGGAGAAGGAAGAAAGATTTCCTTTTCTTCTTTGGGTATATATCAAAGTCAATCTAATTTAGGAATTCATACACCTCCCGTGAAAATCTCTCAAAAACCTAATGCCTTAGGAACAATACCTGATGCCGTGCTTATATGCTTTCCTCTTGCATGAAGAGTTTTGAACAATTGTAACCATTGTAACTGGTTGTTTATAATTTACTACCAACTTGCTAAGAAAAGATTATCCATGTTAAGTGATATGAGAAATCCTGACCGCAAAGATGATCAGAAAACAGATCTGACTTTTTACAGTTGAGCCTAACCAGCATTATAAAATCAAGCTTATCACATACAATATGAATTTGTTTCGGGCAGTCTGGGCAACACAGCAGTCCTTTTCTGCATTTCAGCTGTAGCCACTGCAAACCAGGTTGAAGCCAGTCTGCTGTACTTCAAAATTTTTGGTAAAGCCTTGTGATCCTGTCAAATCTACAACTGGCACCTAATTTTTGGTTATATATCAAAACTAAAATGTCTTTGCACCTGATGCACATTAAATGAAGTATCTGAGGTGTGGGTTGAAAAGGCCACCGAAACTGTTTCTGTCACCTCTCTAGAAAGGACGTGAATCTTTACATACATGTCTTAGAAGAATGAGGTAAGCTGTCCTCCTTGGCATTCATTTCACCTTTCCAAAGAATTTAGTAATGCTGGCAAAACATCTACTATTGTTATAACTGCTTATTATTGCTGTATCAAGAGACAGCTTGAGGTTGCTGTCCACAACATGAAAAAACTTATACCTTGTAAGTCAGTAACAATCTAGCTTCACAGGATGATTGAGGTTGGAAGAGATCTGTGGAGACCCAACAGTCCAATCCCGTGCTTGGAGCAGGGTCAGCTGGAGCAGGCTGCTCTGGGCTGGGTCCAGTCGGGTTTGGAATATCTCCCCTCTGTTTTCTAGGAATTTATGCTTCAGCTTTGCAGGAAATTTTCCATATGCTTTCTAGGAACGTCCCCTCTGCTTTCTAGGTATTGCACATGCTACTTTCTAGGAAATTATCCCCCTTTGCTTGCTGCAAATTCTCCATGCCTTTTCTAAGAATTCACCTCTCGGCCTTCTAGGAAATTTTCTGGTACTTTTTAGGAATTCAGCCTTGCTGTCTGGGAAAATGCATCATCTAATTGGTATTTCACCACAAGGTAATTTACATCTGTTTTCCATCAGAAAAACAACACTAGATGTCTGTTCTATTTTTTTCCCCTCAAAAAGGTTCATTGTAAGAAGCTTTCTTCTAGCCATGGAGTTGTGATCTGGGTTATATTTGCATGATCCTCACATTAAAAATGTTATAGAAGCATATGAAGTATTTCTTTGCTTGTTTGTTTAAAGAAATACAAATTTTATTGGGTAGGTTTCTGGGAAAATCTCAAACCAGTATCTTATACATTAAAACAGCTATTGTGGGTTTTTTCCCTATAGTCTATGTGATTTGAGTATGTTGACAAGGTGTTTATAAGGAAAAGTCTCATTTTGACTTCACTTAAAATGTGGGGTTTTTTTATTTTAATGATGAAAATAGGTAGCAAAATCTGTACTTGAAATCCTTCTTCCATGTTTGATATGATCATTTGATTTTATTTTTAGTGTTTCTTTTTTAAGTTAACTATAAAAGTTTGCATAGCTGGCATACTTGTGATTAAATGTATGTTAAATACGCTGCTATCCACAAAGTATTGGTTTATTCAAAATAATAGTTAAAAAAAAAACGAACTTTAAATATTAGCAATACCCAGACACCATTACATTGTTCTTCGCAAATACTCTTAAAGGTGTTGTGAATCAAGACCGTACAACTTAATGATCTATAAAACATTTTAACTTGATTCTATTGGAATATTTTTATCCCATAATTTTTGGCCTTGATTCAAGCCATGAAACAACTCATGTGCCTAAGTAGATTATGTATGTAAATAACCAGACCAACAAAACTATCTTAGCAATTATTAGCTATATGTTCTCTAACTGAAAATATTTTTTATTAAATTTCTGTAAGTTTTTTTTCTGGTACAGTAATATTAGAGATTTACTTGGACACTTTCATAATGCAACTTGATTTGCACAGTGGAACAAGAACGTCCCAAAATTCCTTATACATTGATTCAGAAAGTTAAGAAAGATAGAGAATTTTTTTTTTGGAAATGATGTTAAAGCTTGTATTATGATTGTAATGCAGTGATCTCTTTGTACTTTATCATGATTAATAGCTGAAACTAAAAAATGAAGTAAAACAAGTTTTGCTGGTGATTTAACTAATTTTAGTTTATGATTTGTTCTGAACGTTTGTGAAGTGTCCTGCACCTGAACCACCAGTAAAACTTCAGTGCATACTTAGTCCATACTTTACTCCATACTGCATAAACAGGATAAAAAGAGGGCCTGATAACTGCAAGTGTTGGAAGAGTCTCAAATGGGCAGTTCTAGCAGCTCTTCCAAGGATCTGAGAATAAAAAACCACAGGTAGTATCATGTCTACTAAGGTAGTATCGTGCCTGCTACTTCTGTTCTTGCAATCCTGTCAATTGTATTCCTGAAAAGAGATTAGTGTGGTTCTAGATACAATGACACAGATAGGTGTATATGCATACGTGTTGCAAATATACCACCTTGCTGTATACAGTGATGAATCAGTGAATTAAGTGTTTAACTAAAACTATGAAATATTTAACATCTGCATGGAAATACGGATATTTTGCATAGATACCTCTCCTTTTGTAGCAGTAACTTTGTAGGAATGCTTTTCATTAACGCTATGACAAGCAAATAATATTTTGGCATATCATGAACAATTTGGTTAAACATCTGTCTTCATTAAATATTGGCCTGTAATATAAAGTGATGTAACTTTCAGAAGAGTTTCAGCGTATTCATCAGGTAATATCCTCTCACTTTCTGCCTTTTCTACTGTCAAACTGTTGGCTAAAGTGCCAGCTTCAAGGATGCCGTTCCTACTGAATCCTGCTCGAGTATGTGACAATACGAGGCAGCGGTCACGTGCCATTGACACAAGACATCTTCTGCAGGTACACTTACGCATGTCCCTCAGACCGCTGCACATGGGCAATGGATTTGGCTCATGCATGGCTGGATGAGGTGTCAGGTTGGAAACTGTCAGTGTTGAACTCTTGGTGTTATTCAGGAGTTGTGGCAGGCGTCATTCAGCGCAAAAATTGCTGTGGCACTTGCTCTGTAGTTAGAGATGATGTTAAACAGAAATGAATGGGGTTAACACTAGTTTCCATGTTGCTCTTTTCTACAAAAGCCTTTAAAATGACACCAAGCATAACTGCACATTTCAGAATTATGATAAAACTTGGCAAAGGTGCCAAAACGTGTTTAGTACACTTTCTTTAGTGCCTCTCACACAAGGAAAATTAATTTACATCATTCCTGTGGTATGGGAAAACACACTGTTTAAAATAATCTGTCATTGTTTTACCGTTGGTTTTATGGATCCCTAATGCATCAGAGGTGCAGTTGACTTTCAAGCTAGGGAGTTTTTGAGGAATGCAGTAGAAGATACCATCTAAAAGCATAAAAATTAAAAACTACAAAAAAAACTAAACAAGCAGAAAAGCCAGGACAAAATTTAGACATGCTGATGTCAGAGAAATGTTTGTTTACTAATTGAAAGAGGACCCATATAAAGAAAGCTGTAAAATTTAAGATTGTTTTATGATCCTTGGGCCAGATTGTTTCTTAACCAGGTGATTTCAGTGAAGCTTCTGGGAACAAACAGTCCATGATTACCTAATGGGAAGTACAAATATTAGAATTCTTGTTAAAATATTATTATTAGAATATTAGAATCCTAGCAGATAGGAGAGTAGAATTTCTGTTCTTTGTGTAAATTTGCTATCTTGAAATGTGCTGTCCTTTTTAATAAAAATTACTTTTTTAAGTGAAAATTCTGCAAGCCTGAAATTGGAAAATATCAAAATATTATATTTCAATGATGTCAAAGCATTAGCAAAGGAAATGTAAAATATACAACAGTAATAATTGTATAATAAATGAATACATGAATATAAAATGCATTATATCAATATAATTGTATATAATTAATTATTACGAAAATTAAGTAAAATGACAAAACTGTAATATTTTGAATACCAGAAAAAGAAATGATGGGTAACATACCTGAAGTATTTCATTTAATTAGAATTGTTTTTAAAATAAATTCTAATTCCAACGAAACTGCATTTTCCAAAAAAATTATGAGTTCTAATCTGAATCAGAACTTGAATACAAAATACAGCCTTTTAAATTTGCAGCTTGCATCTAAGATCTCATATCATCTAGCTGAAGCTTACTGCAGGTGTTCCTTTCATTTATCCTTTTATTTATTCATTCATGTTATCCTGATAGGGGAATGTTAGTTGTTTAAATTATAAACTAAAACAGAATGTGTAGGAGGATCATTAAATAATACCCGTAGTAAACAGCCACGGGTGCATTTATGAACATTTAAGGATTATTTTATAAATAGGTACAATATCAAAAATGCAAAGGTGCATTTCTGGTGGTGTATGGAAAAGACTTTTTTTTTTTTATAGTTAACATCACACCAGGTGCATCTTCATAAAACTGATAATCTTAAAGAGATCATTTGACAGTTGTCACATTTTTTCTAGTTGATTTTTAATATATTATGCATATATATCTTGAAACTTTTGGATCTAGGTAAAAGGGAGTTGTGCTGTTATCTGCATTTACTTTATTTAAGTCCTGTTTCAAATTGTTTTTAACTGTAGGGTATCTTCAAAATGCAACTTACTTTTTTTCTAGAGCTGAATTCATTATTGGAGGGGAGGGCACTGGGTTAATGGATAAAAATGGGGTCGAGTTCAAATAAATTAATTTCCCATGAGGCTAAACATCCCTGAACAAAATAATATAATCAGGAATAAGAAAAGTTCATTTTTTACGTTTGCATATTTTTGCTTTGTGTGATATGAGTGAGGTGTTATTGGAAAATAACCAAAATATTTATTTAAATATATCCCAGCAAATACAAACCTTAGCACAACAAATATTTTGTTGTAAGAAAAATGGGCTACAACTCACTCCTCACACATCTGTCCTAAAATGTTTGCATTTTATTATTCTAAACTGGAAATGTATTCTTGTTTTTTGTAATGTGTGTGTCTGCATTTGAATAGCTATGAATGCTTTTGAGAATAATATTGTGAATTACAATAAGCAATCATTAAAATGGATGTATGCTCACCTGAAAAAAGTTTAGCAGATGATGGAGAAATAAAAAACGTCATTAGGCATAGAAGTAGTGCTTGTGAATTTAAAAGAGAAAAAAACGGAAAAATATTTTCTCATCTGCATCTAGAAAAAGGTGTTAAGCAATCTAGAAATTTTTCTCAGCATTTCAAATTCTTTCCTTCCAGCACGGGATACTGAGTCCTAACAAATATTAAAACATTTCTCAGATACAGCTTGTATTTTATTTCTTCAGTGCTAGAATTTTTCCTGACTTGTGCCAATTACCTCTCATCTGTTCATTGGATACCTGAGAAGAGTCTGGCTCCATCTTCTCTATCAAATATGTATCCATCCATAATATATATTTTATAGCTTATAAAATATATATTTTATACACTAGTGTATAAAATAGTGTGTGTATAGTGTGTTCATGCTATAGATACACTCATATATAGTATATGTTTTTATATAGTGTATACATTCCAGAATAATTCTTTTTAGCATTTATGTTTAACGTAATATACGTGTATCTATACAAAATCAATTTAAATGCATCAGTTAAATAAAACAACAAATTACATATATATGGGTTAATTATTCCTTGTTCTTTGAGAAAACCACTGCTGAGACTGATTCAGCCCTGTTCTAAAGCTCCAAATTATGAGTGATGTCAAAATCTGAGCCTGAAGTTTGGCACGTCAAGTTCTTTGATGATAATTTCTTTCATATATGCGTCTATTACAGCGTTTAGACTCTGCTTGGTCAGAATGAAGCGAGGCTGAGTTATTTGAAATAGCAGCAGGACCCTCCCAAATCATGTCCAGCATGCTCTTTATGTGTTTCATGTTCTTCAAAAGCTAATTTAAATGCTCTAAAGGGCAAAAGCTACAATATTCTAGATTTTTTAAAGATTAATTGTAATCCAAACTTAGACCGCAGTGGCGTGCTGTAGCCAGCTAAGCTGTGCTGTTTAACGAGAGGTGGGCCTTTCAGAAGAGTTCCTCTGAATGATGGGTGCTTAGGAGATGTTACAGAGGTTCAGCGGCAAAGGGAATGGACAGGAAAAGTAGAGACCTATTCTTACTTATGTTTGCTTTAAGACAGCTATCTTCTTATTGGATTTGGAGGGAGCGGTTGAGCAGTTCAATTTTAGAGAAACGTACAAATAAGTAGTGCTGGATGTGATTAAATAAAAAAGGAAGTTCTTTCAATTCACAATGCTTATGGATCTATTTTAATTCAATGATATGTTATAATGAAAGAAAAACAACTAAACTTTGGTGCCACTTAAAAAAAAATGCCTGGAAGGACACGAGGGGTAAGCTGGTTTGGAGATATCAAAAGTAATTAAGAATTAATTAAGAATACAGAGGAGGAAACAAACTAGAAATGGGTTTTCAACCATCCTCTGGTATAAAAATACTTTTTTTTACTAGGAAAATAATTTTAAAGGTCAGATCAGCTCTGCATTTATTGCAGAACCCTGGGAAGGCAAGGAGGAAAAGTCTTCCCACTTCCTTGAACTTGGCCATTGAGACTTTGTTTTTTGACATAATATACAGGAAAATGTAAGAATAGTCTAATGGTTACTACGATAGCAATGAGGCAAAGTGGTAATTTCTCAAAGTAAAAGACGTTGCAAATTTGTGGATATTTTTAGTCACGCCCATAGTAAGTTGGTAGCATCTTACAGTCTAGGCATTCCAGTGTTGCGTAGGTAGATCTCTGAAATTCTGTTCTGAATTTTGAGGTTTTTAGTACTTTCATGAAAGAAAATTGCTTTTCAGTGCAAGCAGTGCCTGTAAAGCAAATAAGATTCATAATGAATATAGCCTGTATTTACTACTGTGATACTTTTTTCCTAATCAGTAGGATTCTCACTTGCCTGAGTTCTTTTTAATAATGTTCTTAATTCACTGACAAGGTTTGCCTTTGTGAAACAGGTATTTTCAGTCCTGGAAAGATGAGTCTATTAATATTACTATACAAAAAGCCACCTCATATAATTGGAGATGGGTGAAAATATGGATGGGGA